ACCTATCGAGCGGATTCTGGTGTTCTCTCATTTGGGGAGAGCACTCGCGTAATATTTTCCTGCTTGTTTTTCCCACTCTGGGAGAAACGGGCCTCCATTTTTTGGGATTAGGAGGGGTTGTTTAGGGCCGGCTCTATTTCCCTTCTTCGTTTTCGCTTCTCTAGCCCTGGGTATTTGACTATGGGATGCAGCAGAGTAATAAGCAGGCAAGACAATCGGAGCCAGGTTTGAGGAACGTTTCACAGACCGCACTCTTGGGACATCACCTCGATAACATGATTGTAAATTGAACGGTTGCACAAAGCTCTAGTGCACAGCATACATTCAAGGTATAAGAGTATAAACTAAACAAAAAGAAGAAGTTGCAACCAGTGCCCGGTCCCAGCAGTACAAGATTGAAGTTCTAAGCGTTTCAAGAAATTAAACAAGCTCAACGTGTAACAGCCTGAGATGTGTCGAACCTCACCCGTGCCCCAGAAGGCGGCGCAGTGCTCGTACTGATCGTGCTGGCGGTGTTCGCATTCTCCCCCGGACTGGGAGAACTGCTCCCCGGACCCTCGGCGTCCATCTTTGTTCCAGAGTTAAACCCCGTCGTAAATGCCGGTGCGCTAACCGGCTGAGGCTGGGGGCTGAGGACGTCCACTCCGTTCGCATTTCCATTCCCATTCCCGTTCACGCTCCGGTTGACCGAGTCTGACCAACGAACGCTCCTTGCTGGACTTGAGCCTCTGCTTCCCCTCGTCGAGCTGGGCGAGCGCAGGCGTGTTTAACTTTAACCGTGGTGGCTTTTAGCCATGGGTAAGTCTCTTCTATGTGAACTCTGGGATGCACCAGAGTAGCAAGGGGCAAGAAAATCAGGACCAGGTTCGAGAAGCATCCCACAAGTCGCCTCAGCCGGCCTTTCTTTTGAGTTTGAGGGCTTTTGAATTCTCTTGTAGGCACTAGTGGGAGGTACCAGATTAGTCTGAGTAATGTGCGATGTGCAATCCGAACCAAGTCCAGCACTCGGGGCCTCAGTTACATCCATCGGATATTAACCAGGTGCACAGGTTACCCCAGGCCCAAATGAACAACATACTGTACTGTACGTCCTGGGGTTCATAACCCCCCCCTACAGAAGTGGCATCAGCGCCCGGTCTCCGGGGAGAAACACGAGCTCAGCAGAAGAGAATGAGAAATCGCACACTGTGTACTTTCCTGGGCTTTGGTGCCGGGGTGCCAGATCTCAATCTCAGGCTGATCTCCAGAACGTCAGTCTCTCGCACATGGCCGGTGCTACGCCCTGCTGGTAGGACGTGGGGAAGAAAGTACGATCCTGTCAAGCGATACAGAATAGGGCGCGTCCGATCCCACTCACCCTCTCACACCTGCAGCATGCATATGCTGGGTGCACCACACTCCGCGCTCCCCCTCCTCTTACGCATCCGGCTCATTTCGGCATCGGCACCTGGGTCAAATACTCCCACCCAGCATGCACCAACCCCATGACAACCCTTACCTCCCCCTCGTCCCTCGGCGCATAAAGGAGCACTCTCCCCCTAGCGCTGCCCCACTCCCCCGGTCCCCCCGCGAGCGGGAACCGGCAAGCCCAGCCTTTCTCAATAGCGAGAGCAGCGTCGAGCGGAGAAAGGATCAAGTGTAAGCTGCCCTCTCCACCGTGTAGGTGTACGAATTCCCAACTAGAGGCTTTCCGCGTTCTGGGGATGAGGGACTCGGGGTGGATTCGCCCGGACGAGGAGGAGGAGGGAGGGGTGGGGGGGAGGAAGAGGGCGAGCGCGTTGGGCTCTATGAGGGATGGGCAGCAGGTGAGGTCGTGTGCGGTCGCGAATTTGCGGAAGGAGAATTTGAGGTTCTGTCAAGTGTGGGCGAGGGGATAATGTGGGATGTGGGATGTGGGATGTGGGATAGGACAGGGACACACCTCTTCCAGGTCGGTATCCAACACCTGCGGTACTTGCCTGTGCGGCACTCCGCGACATACCATCCCCGGTCTGGGCTTCCTCCTCTCCCCCAGATCGGCCAAGAACGTCCGCCCAAATAACGGGTCCTTCACTGCTGCCCTTGCGGCCCAGCGGCACAGAGGGAGAGGGGAGGTACCGTCCATGTTTAGGATGGAACGGTAGATGCGTACGAGGAGTGAGAGGAAGTAGATATGCGGTTGGCGGGAGAGGGTGCCTCTTATTTCCAGTGGGACTGGGAGTGTCAGATAACGAAAGCGTTGATGGTGAGATGGGCGTACGGCTGAGGTAGGAATTGAGGTCTTGTGCTAGGAAGAAGATGCCTGATAGGCTTAGGGAAGCGACAAGAGCGTGACCTAGTGTTGTAGGGGTGTTCCAGAGAGTTGAGAAGGAGTTGAGAGAGGGGGCATGTAGCCAGGAGGGGAAGTAGGAGGAGGCCATCGTTACTGAGAGAACGGGGGAGAGGAGGGAGGGGTGAGTAGGGGATACTTATGAGGGAAGTATGTGCGGATGAGTTACTTAATCTAATCTTCATACGGGAAGTGTTCATTAACAGCGGGTGAGACAGGGCAACCACAGAAACAAAGATCGGGTCATCTCAGGCAGTGGACAGTCTGCAGCACGAGATAGAAACTGAGCTGAAAGGTGCGAGGGAGGAGAGTGCGAGAGAGGGGTGACGACATGCAACCCATGACGTCATAGGCGATCGACGCCCCATCGTCACTCTCAGATATCATGAACAAGTAACACATCCTCGAGTCTGACTGGGGAGGGGGGGCAGGGGCTAGTACTAGTGGGCGAGGAAGTACTCCGACCACCCACCGACGGTTTTCGACTCCCCCTCATCGCGAGCAGATGTTTTCCAGCAAGCACGCGACTGGTAAACAGCAGCCTCGAGCCTCGTGCATCCCTTGCATCTCAGGATAAGACCTCAGGCGGGCAGGGGGCGTTAGACTATCAACTATCAACTATCAACTATCGATAACGTTATTCGTTATTGGTATCGGACGCCTGCGATAGGCTCCTGCCTCATAACTCAAAATATCAGTGCGATACTGTGACAGAAGAGCAGGACGCAAGACCGCACAAACGCGTGCACCCCACATCAGTCGATCACCCTCCAGAAATATCGATCGACCACACGACCACAAGCCCAACGCCCTCCGCCTGCCGCCGAACCACAGGCGATCGGCCCGCCCTCCGTTTCGCTCTCTCGGTCCATCTAGCCTTCCCCCACCTTAAGCTTCTGCCCTTCTGCCCTTCTCTACCTGAGCTTGTCTTCCGGGGATGATGAGCTGGTCAGACGACCCTCTTCCCCGGCCCCATTCCCCATTCTCCTCCCTCCCATTCTCTCCCCCTTCCTAGCTGCGCTCGCCCTGCTGGCCAGGAGGCGCGTACAACGCACTGACGCGAGGTTCCCTAGATCGACAGGGCCGGAGGAACATGAGCCCGAGATCTGCAATATACGCAGGTATTATAGAGGCCGGCGTATCATCCATTCATGATCGTCGACTTCTCTCCTCCTTCCTTCTTCGGTCTATACGCCTCTCCACATCAGCAATCAGCTCAACTCGTTTCCTCCTGCCTGTCTGCCGCCGGATGCCTGTCTGCCAGCACCCATCACGCGGCCATGCGCAGCGCAGGGGCAAACAACCGGCGTAACGTTCTAGAAGACCGGGCCTTCTGCAGCTGACTCCCCCGCGCACACAAGGACGACCAACACGAGGCCGCTTTATTATATTTAGTTAGCTGGTGGGTTCTTCGGTGGGCGGGTGCAGGCCAGGGGTGGGGTATTCTGTAATGTTATGGGTGGAATGGAGAAGGGGAGAGATGGCGGGATGGCGAGCCGTGCCGTGCGTGCGTGCGTGGAGGTTCCGAGGTGTGGGGATAACGGAGCATGTTGTACGTACATGTTATGCGAGGCTGCTGTGAGTCCAAGCTGGACAAACTCGAGCGTCCAGTCTAGTCGTGCATGTTAACAATATTAGAGTTGTCCAGTCCAGGAGGGAAGGGACTCCGGCACGGTCGCACTCCGACAGACCATGCGCATGATTCTTTTCAATTGGAGTCCGATCGAAAAGGGAGGCTAGGTCCACAGCTTGACTGCCGAAGGGCTGGGCCAAGAGAGCGTGTGTCGTACGTCATATTGGGGGCATCACTGCGGGTTTGTGATTGGGCGCTTGGTGACCATATGGTGTACATGGGGATGTCAGTATTGTACAGATTAAATTACGTTGGACGTTCAGAGTGAGGAATGGCGTGTTATTGCAATGATTCATGGTAGATAGGATAAGGGATTATAAGACTGTGACGGGTAGAGTGTGCCAAGCCCGCCGAGGAACCCAAGGGGATATCTTGATCATCTCTGAGCAGCACGTTCCTGCCCAGAGGGAAAGTTCGGGGATGTTCAGGGAGAGGGGTGAAGGGGCCTGCCGAGCAGGGGCGGATGTGGGGAGAGTGGTGATGGTGATGGTGATGGATGAGCGCTTGTCCAATCTACATAAATCATACCCGCGGTATTTATACCCTTGTGGTTTGTGTCACTTTTACCCGCCTCACTCAGCACCTTACCTTGCCCGTATTCTAGTCTCGTAATCAAAGGCATCAGCACTCTCTCATTCATTATTCATTGTCTATTGCACTATTGCATATCTTGTATGGGCTGGTGGATACAGCACTCACTTTGTCATCAACACGGGCCATAGTAATCCGATAACACTTTAATCACACAACAACAACACCCACCCACCTCTTACCACCACCACCATGAAATTCGACCCATTCGAAGTATCCGTAGCCCATATCGCCTACTCCCTCCTGGGAGGTTTCGTCGTCATATTCGGCATGTTCTCTCTCTGGCTCAAAGCACGCCTCTACATATCAGAAGCAGTATGGGCAACCTTGTTTGGAATAATCGTCGGTCCTTACTGTGCGGGCATATTTGACCCCAGGTCATGGGCGGGAAGCACGGATGAGCAGGGGATCGAAGTCACGAATACTGTCACGCTCGAAGTCATGCGTGTCGTACTCGCAATCGGAGTGTTCGCAATCGGGTACGTCCCCCTCTGCACAGCGCACACATCGCACATCCTAACCCGCACCCACCAGCGTCGAACTCCCCAAAGCTTACCTATGGCGACACGTCCGCTCCGTCCTCCTCATCCTATTCCCCGTCATGGCCTGGGGCTGGATCGTCTGCGCCGGGCTCATATACGGCCTCGTACCGGGCCTCGACTTCCTCTCTTCTCTCATAATCGCTGCCTGTCTCACCCCGACCGATCCCATCCTCGCCTCTGCCGTCGTAGGCGGGAAATGGGCAGACAAGCACGTTCCAGCCCATTTGCGCCATCTGCTTGCCGCAGAGAGTGCGGTCAACGACGGCCTCGCATTCCCCTTTCTCTACCTAGGCATGTACCTTTTCCTCGAGACAAACGCTCGCACCGCTGTGGGGGAATGGATCTACTGGACGATCCTGTACGAAGTCACGCTAGGGTGCGTGATGGGCACCGTGCTCGGAGTGGGATTTCGCCACCTGATGCAGTTCTGCGAGCGGAAGGACCTCATCGACCGAACTTCCTACCTCGCGCAATACGTCTCCCTCGCTCTGCTCGCTATAGGCGTCACGACCCTGTTAGGGACGGACGACCTCCTCTGTGCATTCTTCGCCGGCACGGGCTTTGGCTGGAACGGATTCTTCCAGAAACAGACAGAGGACAGTATGTTCTCCAACGCCATGGACTTGCTCTTCAACGTCGCCGCGTTCATCTACATCGGCGCTTGGCTCCCCTTTTCCTCGTACGCGGACACCCGCCTCACCCTCTCCGTATGGAGACTCGTCGTCCTCGGCATCCTCGTCATCCTCGTCCGCAGGATCCCGATCTGTCTAGCGATATACACCTGGATCCCGGATATAAAGACTTTCCGGGAAGCGCTCTTTACGGGACACTTTGGACCTATGGGCGTAGGCGCGATCTTCATCTCCACCTTGGCGGCAACCCAGCTCCCATCAAAAGGCGCTCTAGGTACACCTCCTTATACTCAGGAACAGCTCCTCTCAGGGTCGATACAGCCTATTGTGAGCTTTATAGTACTCTGCTCTGTCCTCTCCCATGGGCTGTCAGTACCTGCGTTCAGCCTGAGCAAACGCGTTCACTCGCTGAGCATGACTGCGCATACCCGGAGCTGGAGTCGGCAGGCCTCTAGGGAAACAGGCCATCGGGAGCCGGAGTGGGCGACCCAGGCCCGGAGAGTTCACAGGCCGGAAGACGTCGTCATTAACCGTGACGTGGATTTGGAAAAGGGAGCGCTGGGGTTAGGCCTTGGGGTGAGGATGGAGGGGCTGGGGGAGGGGGAAGAGGAAGTGGGAGCGATGGATAGGGAGAACGAGAGGCCTAAAGGACCGGAAGGGGTGCATAGGGAGGGAGGGACGGAGGAGGTGGGCGTGGAGCGGGATACGGCTGGAGGGGGGTTGGATATGCGCGGGGAGGGGGAAGGGGGAGGCAGCCCGTGCAGTGGCGCCCCTGCGAGTGGGAGTGCGGCGGGGAGTGGGAGCGGGGCACTGGAGGACCAGAGACCGGCGGTGAGCACGTGGAAACAGGGGAACTACATGGTTCTGGAACGCGATCCGGGGCATGGGGCTGATGTGCGTCTTTTTCTTCTTCTTTCACTTTCACTTTCGCTTTCTTTTGCGCTACTGGGACGAGCACGATGCTGATGATCATCGGTACTCTATCTAGGTCGAAGTGGAAGTCGTCAGACGATCAATCGTACCCGCTATCGAAGGCCGGCAGACGTTCACCGCTCGGACGCTAGAAGAAGCCCGAGCCCTAGGCAGGGAATACGTCGTCAAGCTCGAGCAGAAGGCGCGGCAGATTCGCGCCGAGCTCTTGAGGGAAGGGAAGATCACTTTGCGGCAGAGTACGACCAAGGCCCGGTGGGGGGAGCAGACGATTAGGAGACTGAGTGGGTTGGAAGTCGGTTCGGTCGATTCGGTCGGTGAGGGGGGTGAGGTGGGTGAGGTGGGTGAGGTTGGGAGCTTGTTGCGCACTGGGCCAGGGGGTGGGGCAGGCGCAGGCGCAGGAGTCAAACCGGAGGCTGTGGCGGGTCCGAGTGGGACGATACATGAGCTTGGACATGGTTTGCCTGTGACTGGGGATGGGAAGTACACGGAGGATTCAGAGGACCCGCCCGAGGAACAGGAGGACGATGCCTGGAGGGACGAAGGTGATCCCGAAGTGTCACCCGACCTTCCCGCCGGGGAGCCGCTGGACGATATCTGCCTGACAGAAGCAGCACTCGCGCATCCTCTCCCCGCTCGCCGGCAGCTCCAGTTCCGCGAACCGGCGTCCAACGACCACCGACCGCCCGCGCATGAGCCTGAACCTACGTCCCCCGATACGCCTGTCCGGGAGAGTCATTATCCGCACCATCATAGTCGGTTTATACGCAACGCGAAGCGGGCGATCGTGCATGCTGCGCATGCACCGGGGAAGAGGAGGGAGGCGCGCCGTACCCTTCTGGCGGGGAGGAAGAACAAGAGTGCCTCCCCGCCTGCGCCTGCTGGGGAGCCGATTTCTTCTAGCACGGCGCAGGCGCATCAGAGGAGCGGTCATGTGCATCATCATCAACATCATCCCCCACGGCCAATATTGACAAGCGCGACTTCTACGTCTGATTTCCCTGATTCATCCACTCCGAACACGAACACCACTGTTTCCCTACCTGGCACGTCTGTGCCTTATCGCCTGCGCTCGCCCAGCCCGACGAGGGGAAGCAGAGGCTCAAGTCCAGCAAGGAGCGTTCGTTGGTCAGACTCGGTCAACCGGAGCGTGAACGGGAATGGGAATGGAAATGCGAACGGAGTGGACGTCCTCAGCCCCCAGCCTCAGCCGGTTAGCGCACCGGCATTTACGACGGGGTTTAACTCTGGAACAAAGATGGACGCCGAGGGTCCGGGGAGCAGTTCTCCCAGTCCGGGGGAGAATGCGAACACCGCCAGCACGATCAGTACGAGCACTGCGCCGCCTTCTGGGGCACGGGTGAGGTTCGACACATCTCAGGCTGTTACACGTTGAGCTTGTTTAATTTCTTGAAACGCTTAGAACTTCAATCTTGTACTGCTGGGACCGGGCACTGGTTGCAACTTCTTCTTTTTGTTTAGTTTATACTCTTATACCTTGAATGTATGCTGTGCACTAGAGCTTTGTGCAACCGTTCAATTTACAATCATGTTATCGAGGTGATGTCCCAAGAGTGCGGTCTGTGAAACGTTCCTCAAACCTGGCTCCGATTGTCTTGCCTGCTTATTACTCTGCTGCATCCCATAGTCAAATACCCAGGGCTAGAGAAGCGAAAACGAAGAAGGGAAATAGAGCCGGCCCTAAACAACCCCTCCTAATCCCAAAAAATGGAGGCCCGTTTCTCCCAGAGTGGGAAAAACAAGCAGGAAAATATTACGCGAGTGCTCTCCCCAAATGAGAGAACAACCAGAATCCGCTCGATAGGTAACCGTGGGGCGCCGTGCAATGTCGACCAGAGACTGGTAACGTCCCGGTCTGGAAGCGGGTACGTTCCCACAAGGTAAGTATGAGGTTGTTGGGATGCGCGGCGTGGGGTATATAAGGGACTTGTGGGTGCACGGACCGGGGCACGGACCGGGGCACGGGCCATGGTTTGTGCGATCACTCGCCAGGTCTGAATGGTGTGACAAAAGGAGAATCCAGCCTTGTATTTGGGGAGAAAAACATCGCCCCAATTGTCA